TTTCCGGCACCGTTTCGCTGTTCCAATTGCCATTCCTACCGATTCCCGGTGTACCAGGATTACCTGATATAACAAAATGTTTGACATCTTTTATGAATATTCCAGGGTGTATCACAGAGTTTTCGCAATCTATACTCATTGGAAAGTTTGAAAACATAGGCCCTGCTTGTTGCAAAGCAATTTTGGAAGCTGAAACCAATTGCATTCCACAACTTCCATTCAATCCGTTTTTTCATCCTATGCTAAAGGAACAATGTTCAAAAACTGTTGGCGCACTTCCTCCTACCTAAAAGTAGAATTTAATTCAAAATAATGTTAACGATTCCATTTTTTTTTCTTTTTTTTTTAGTTGAAAAATAAGATTAGGTTTACGATTTATATCCAAAATTTTCAACGATATAATAATAGCATTATAAACGAGTCACTTTGTTTTTCCCAGTTTTACATAACAATAATCTATAACAATTTTAATTAGATTGCAAAAAGGCTTGCTTGAAGGTGTAATGACCTTTCAAGAAACAACATGAATTTAGAAGCGCTATAAAAGCACGATTCCAGAAAAATTAAAATTAGAATTCCAATGGATGTTTGTTATTACGTTGTAAATTAGCAAACACTGTAAAAATATGCGAAGTGTGTTGCACACTTATATTGAAAAATCTTAAAACTTGCTCAATTTTAAAAATTGAAATGGTAAATATCCATAATATACATAATATAAATTGATGAATTAAATTCACTAATTTTTCACATTCAAAAATTATAATAGAAAAGAGGATCAAAATAGTAAATTTCAAATTTTCATCCATTATTATTTTATGCACAAACTTGTCTTTCATTTTTTACATTTAATCTTTTCATATATAGTTTACAATATCAACATTGAATAAGTATCTCGGTTTTTAGGTTATATGACCATAAAATTAAATAAATGTGAGTTAAATTTTAAAAACAATAATTATAATTTTTTATTTTACGAATCTATGAAATTCAATCTCCGAACATGGTGCATAAGATATGTCGTGGGATGTCTTATATTCCTAATCATTTATTTAGGTATGTGTTTTAGAATTTATTCCTAAAACTGTTCCTAATTAGAAAATATATACATGAAATAATAAATACTTTAACAGAAAATGGAAAAGAGAGAACATATACATAGGCATGTCGATTACGTCAAAAGCCCTAAAAATAGCGGGCTCAAAATTATATATATATATATTCATAAAAGTCTGGTTTTTCTCGCTAAGCCCGTCCGGACTCAAGATTTTTGTGGTTTAATTAGCCCGGTCGAACTCGGGCCAGCTCGAAAACCCTTTAACAATATTTTGATTTTTTTTAATATTTAAGATAAAGTGTCATATTTTTTTAAGATTGTTTTTAATAGAGTTGAAAACCTAAACCAGGTTTTCTAATTGTGTCGTACTATATATATCATCTCCTTTGTCCTCTCACCAATAGTCTAAGTAGTTAATATTTTCCTATTAATGTCAATCGTCTCATCAAGGTGGCTGTGGACTCTCTTTTAATTTTAGTAACTTCTCATTCAATAAGAAAATAAGAAACTGCAAGCTTATTGATTATCTAATAAAAATTTGAAAGACGTTTTATGGAGACAAATACAATTAGTACCACCATAGCTCATTTCTTCCCCTATAAATAACAACTGATCTTAGTATTGTTCATCACTCAACAACAACCACGAGAAAGAATCATATATTGGAATATTTCAAACATCTTTTTTTTTCATCATGGCTTTCAAAAACGTGATTTTTCTACTGGCGGTTTTATGCATTGCACTGTCTGCAAATGCTCAATTACCACAATTTCCGGCACCGTTTCCTTTTCCATTTCCATTCCTACCGAGTCCCGGTGTACCAGGATTACCTGATATAACAAAATGTTTGTCATCTTTTATGAATATTCCAGGGTGTATCGCAGAGTTTTGGCCGGTGGCAAATCCACTGCGCAAGTTCGTAAACATAGGTCCTGCTTGTTGCAAAGCAATTTTGGAAGCTGAAACCAATTGCATTCTACAACTTCCATTCAATCCATTTTTTCCTCCTATGCTAAAGGAACAGTGTTCAAAAACTGTTGGCGCACTTCCTCCTACCAAAAAGTAGAATTTAATTACAAATAATGTTAACTGTTGCATTTTTTTTTCTTTTTTTTTGGTTGAAAAATAAGATTAGGTTTACGATATGTATCCAAAATTTTCAACGATATAATAATAGCATTATAAATGAGTCACTTTGTTTTTCCCAGTTTTACATAACAATAATCTATAACAATTTTAATTAGATTGCAAAAAGGCTTGCTTGAAGGTGTAATGACCTTTCAAGAAACAACATGAATTTAGAAGCGCTATAAAAGCACGATTCCAGAAAAATTAAAATTAGAATTCCAATGGATGATTGTTATTATGTTTTAAATTAGCAAACACTGTAAAAATATGCGAAGTGTGTTGCACACATATGTTGAAAAATCTTAAAACTTGCTCAATCTTTAAAAATTGAAATTGTAAATATACATAATATACATAATATAAATTTATGAATTAAATTCACTAATTTTTCACATTCAAAAATTATAATAGAAAAGAGAGTCAAAATAGTAAATATCAAATTTTCATCCATTATTATTTTATTCACAAACTTTCTTTCATTTTTTACATTTAATCTTTTCATATTTGGTTTTACAATATCATCATTGAATAAGTATCTTGGTTTTTAGGTCATATGACCATAAATTTAAATAAATGTGAGTTAAATTTTAAAAACAATAATTATATTTTTTATTTTACGAATATATGAAATTCAATCACCGAACATGGTGCATAAGATATGTCTTATATTTCTAATCATTTATTTAGGTATGTGTTTTAGAATTTATTGTTAAAACTGTTCCTAATTAGAAAATATATACATGAAATAATAAATACTTTAACAGAATATGGAAAAGAGAGAACAGATACATAGGCATGTCGATTACGTCAAAAGCCCTAAAAATAGCGGGCTCAAAATTATATATATATATATATATATATATATATATTCATAGAAGTCTGGTTTTTCTCGCTAAGCCCGTTCGGACTCAAGTCTTTTGTGGTTTGATTAGCCCGGTCGAACTTGTGCCAGCTCGAAAACCCTTAAACAATATTTTGAATTTTTTTTAATATTTAAGATAAACTGTCATATATTTTTAAGACTGTTTTTAATAGATTTGAAAACACTAAACCGGGTTTTCTAATTGTGTCGTACTATATATATTATCTCCTTTATCCTATCATCAATAGTCTAAGTAGTTAATATTTTCCTATTAATGTCAATCGTCTCATCAAGGTGGCTGTGGACTCTCTTTTAATTTTAGTAACTTCTCATTCAATAAGAAAATAAGAAACTGCAAGCTTATTGATTATCTAATAAAAATTTGAAAGACGTTTTATGGAGACAAATACAATTAGTACCACCATAGCTCATTTCTTCCCCTATAAATAACAACTGATCTTAGTATTGTTCATCACTCAACAACAAACACGAGAAAGAATCATATATTGGAATATTTCAAACATCTTTTTTTTTTCATCATGGCTTTCAAAAACTTGATTTTTCTCCTGGCGGTTTTATGCATTGCACTGTCTGCAAATGCTCAATTACCACAATTTCCGGCACCGTTTCCTTTTCCATTTCCATTCCTACCGAGTCCCGGTGTACCAGGATTACCTGATATAACAAAATATTTGACAACTTTTATGAATATTCCAGGGTGTATCGCAGAGTTTTCGCAATCTATACTCATTGGAAAGATCGAAACATAAGTCCTGCTTGTTGCAAAGCAATTTTGGAAGCTGAAACCAATTACATTCCACAACTTCCATTCAATCCATTTTTTCCTCCTATGCTAAAGGAACAGTGTTCAAAAACTGTTGGTGCACTTCCTCCTACCAAAAAGTAGAATTTAATTACAAATATGTTAACCGTTGCATTTTTTTTTCTTTTTTTTTAGTTGAAAAATAAGATTAGGTTTACGATTTGTATCCAAAATTTTCAACGATATAATAATAGCATTATAAACGAGTCACTTTGTTTTTCCCAGTTTTACATAAAAATAATCTATAACAATTTTAATTAGATTGCAAAAAGGCTTGCTTGAAGGTGTATTGACCTTTCAAGAAACAACATGAATTTAGA